GGCCAGAGAGCCAGGGCGGGGCTCAAGGGGTGGGTCCAGAGGACTAGGGCGGGACTTGGGGGGCGGGACACGGACGACAGACACTTAAAAGGTTTAATTAGTGTGGGTCTTTGTCAGCATGAAACTGGGATCACTGCCCTGTATGTCCTCTTCAAGTTTTTGAAGATGCCTTTCAGACTGTTACCTACCTGCCAGAGATCCCAAAAACTGAGGCTGCTGGTGACATACATAGCTTTATCCCTTAGTTCAGTCACAGACCATGGAGAGGCACTTGTAATTGCTCCTCATCCAGCAGAGGGCACTGCATACTGCAAGCTTTTAATACCTTTTTGTTATTAAATACAGAGATTCATCAGGGAATGCCAGGTTTTAATTTTCATTATGGATTTTTACTGTTATGTGAGATTTTCTTGGCTATGTGAATTTTATTAGATGTCATAAAAAGCAGTTTGCTTTCTGTGTTTGTACTTGCTTTCAGTGGCATAGCATAAAATTTCCTGAACAGAAAGTTACTATTACAAGTACTTCCTTTTATAAAGTGATCGTTTTCAGCTCCGATGTTTAAAGGAGTGCATAAATCCAAATGGGAAAGAAAGTGTTGTAATATCCATATGCCACAAAGTTATTTCTTTCTGTGCAAAACATTTTAATGTTTTGTGTTTTGCACGATATAGTTTTACAAAGACTTGGCAAAGGTTTTGCTTGAACTATAAATATGTGACTTTGTTGTTAAAACAAGATGAAATAGGGGCCAACAAGATAGCTCAGTGGGCTAAAACACCTGCTTAGGCAAACACAGGGACCATAGTTTGATCTCTGTACACATGCCATTCCGGTCCCGCCCCCAGGGCAGGCCAGGCCAGGCCAACCACAGAGTCCGTGCCTAGTGACACACACCTGTAATCCCAGCACTTGGAAGGCTGAAAACAGAAGGATCACTGTGGGTTTGAGCTGTGTAGTGAGACCCTGTAACAACCAAATACATTATAAAAAATGAAGGCATGAGGCGATAGCTCATCTTGAGTTCAATCCCCAGTGCCACAAAAAAAACAAAAAAACTATATAAACTTTTCTTCCCAAATACAAATAGAAAGGCATAACACAATTAAAAGGATAGGAAGAACTTGAGGATTAGACAATAAGAGAAAGCAAGGAAAAAAACTAGGAAACATGACAGGAGCAAATCCATACATTTATATTTACAAGATGGGTAAGGCAGTGATCCTGAGAATCTTTAGCAGGTTTTCAAAACTAGCAGTTAATTGGGAGGATTCTCATCCTGACTGACTATATATGCTGATACCTGTGAACTAAACAACTGCACCAAAGATAGCAGTGTGTAATAGTAGGGTCATGCATGGAGTGCCTATCATTCTGGTCTTCTGAATAGGTGCTGC